TTTTTTCGTTTTTTATCTGCCGGACATGAAATTGAAAAAAATCCGGAAAATTTGCCACGTAGGAAAGGCGCCCGCTGCCGTGGCCTAGGTTTCTCATTGAAAATCCTCGTCCCCCGGCGGCACCTTTTTTTGAACTTTCTTCCTTTTCAACGCCGTTTTTCGGGGATTTCGGATTTTTTTGAATTTTTTCGCAATAATATTCGAAAAATAGATAAAATTTAACACATTTTAATGCAATAAAAATTTTTGGTCAGAGTCCCCCTTTAATCTTCCTTTTTTTCCAAACGAATTCCGCCTGATTTTTCACTGATCATTGCTCATTGATCGATTCCTCGAGTTCCATTTGTTTTCGTTCAATCCATTTTTTTATTGCATTTTTTGTATCCCTTTTCGGCGCTGATTGTCATCAGAAGAATATTAAACCCAGTCGGTGCTATGCTGTTGTCAGATTTTCGATTTCGATTTTGAGCAGACTTCTTGATCCTCTCCCACTATGGCTAGTGTTGGGCGAAACCGTCTTTCATTTTTCGCTGCGCTCAGAATTAGAAAACCTCTCGGGTTTTTTTTCTGTTATCATCTGTAATAGAAAATACGACCTTGTTGGGGATCACTGCCTACCATAGCGCATCTCGGAATCCATTGCAGTCAGATTGTCCTGAAGATATCGTATCAAATCCATATCCGATCACTACAGACCTCTTGCTCTGATTTCTTCCAAGAGATTCTTTGAAGTTCGTTCGCCGATCTTCTTATCATGGGAAACCTGAAAATATTCAATGATCTTCGTTGATTTTTCTGTTATTTTTCATCAAACAATTTGGAGTTTAAATCTTTTGGTGATGAAAAAATTCACTGAAAACGCACGAACACTGTACCAGAATCATGTATTTTCGACGATCGGGTTCATTCTCCAGCGCCTGATTGAAGTCTGAGTACTTGAAGTGGCATCGCTGATTTCGATTGCTTCCGGAGCTCTTTGTTGTCATTCTGAAAACACTTCTTTTCAGATCGATTCTGCTTGACTAAAACACATGAATGTTGACAAAAAAACACACACACACAACTCAGACACGAAGACAATCAGAATACTCGCTGACCTTTTTTTCAGATTTCGAGCGAATTTTCTGAAAAAATCGATTTTTCAAGCGTGAAAACTGAAGCGAAACTCATATACCCGATGTGTCGCTGCTTAGCGGTGCTTGCTTCAGATCGGAAAAATCGCGGGGAAAGTTTTGAATGAGTTGGATAGTGAGAGCAGACTTTTCGACTGCCGCTACTACATCTCATCTTCTAAGAACACTTTTCAACATATTTTCAATTTTTCGCTGAAAAAAAACCAAGAAAATCGACAAAAAATGAACAAAAATAGGCCAAAAATGATTCTCGAAAGTTCGACTGTCGCGAAGTGTGCACTTTTGCGCGGCGGTGTTTGCAGAATCGTGTCTCCTATTCTACGCGCAATGTGAGATTTCCGCGGTTTTAGAGCTAAATTTGACGACAAATCGTCGGGATTCGAATGAAAAGCCATGATAAATATACTTTTGCAGATAAAGAGCTGTGAGAATATGGAAAAGCCGCAAGAGATTCAGCTGGCGACCGCTACGCAGACACGCGACGCCTCCAAACTTGACTCGGTGCCAAATTTCAAATCTAGGTTCTCTTTTGTGAAAGTAGAGAAATTCTTCTGGTGGGAAATCAGCTGAAAATCGGTTTTTTGCAGGCTAAAAAAAAACATCGGAAGCAGTAAGAACTCGAAAATCGATCAGGAAACGAAAGAAGAAATCTTGAAGCTCAAGAACTCGGAAAGTCTGCTCTCACTATCCAACTCATTCAAAAATTTTCCCTCCTTTTTTTCGATGGATCACTAGCACGGCAACGTAGCGACACAGCAGGTATATGAGTTTCGCTTGAGTTTTCACGGTTCAAAAGTTGAATTGTTTCAGGAAATTCGTTCAAAGTCGAAGAAAAAAGGTCAGCAAATCCTTGTCTTTGCGGCCAAGGTGTGTGCGTGTGTTTTTTTTTATTGTCGAGAGTTGTGTTTTCCAGTCAAGGTAACGATCTAAAATCAGTATTTGAAACAATCGAAGAAAGCGATGACACTTCAAGTACCCATATTTCTACGAAAATTTGGGATCGGAAGAGCCAGCCGACGTTGGAGAGTGTGGATTGCCCAAAAATTCAAAAACTCATCAATCGCGAGAAGACTGCTGGTACAGATATGCTCGAGCGCTTCACATCAGAAAAGGATCGGCGAACGAACTTCAAATCAAAAGAAGCGCGTTGGAGGGAATCAGAACATGACGACGGTGGAGATCAGAAGGTGATTTGAGACTGAAATTTCAAAATAATCTGTCAGCGCAAAGATTCCAAGATGCGCTATGGTAAGCAGTGATCCCCAACGTTCCAAAAGGCTGTACTTTCTATTACAGATGGTAACTAAAAACCAGTGGGTTTTTGAATTCTGAGCGCGAACTCGGGGGAGCCAGAAAAAACACTTGTGACAATGGGAGATGAGCAACAAATCTTCTAAAAAAAATGACAATCAAAAACCTTTCAAGAGCATAGCACCGACTTGGTCTCCTATTCGCCATGTGATACGTAGCTCCCAATCAGCGACAAAAAGGAATACAGAATCTGCTGGAAAAAAATGGATTGATCAGAACAAAATCGAATTCAAGGAATCGATCGATGAGCAATGTTCAAAGAGAAAAAGAGCTGGGATTCGTTAGTGCATTCGCAATGGAAGGACCCATGAAATCTTAGATTTCAACCCGCTGTTCTTGCAGATGATACTTCAGGACAGTTTCCTGTTTTCCTTGGATTCTGACCCAGTTACTTTTTGGAGACCTCACAGAGATAGATTCCCGCTTCTTCGAAGAATCGCTCTGCATTTCCTCTCGCCCACGCAGTCTAGTGCAATTGTGGAAAGATTGTTTAGGTGGGAATCGGTTTATAAAAACTACGTGACCACTTCATTATAGTGTCTGCGGCTCCATCGTTAACAATAGCCGAAGAAACAGGATGAAACCGAAGACTCTTAACCAGCAACTTCTTTGTGCGGCATTGGCCACTTTGGAGTAAGATATTAAAGTTTATTTTTCCTCAAAATCTGAGTTTTCTTCAGATCTACGAAGAAAAATACGTCGACGACTGAAGAGTACGAATGTGACGACGAGAATGATGACTCAGAAGGCGAAGAATATTACGAATCCAGAGAGCATAACGATGATACTTTTGGAAACGATTTGGCCCAAATAATGAAACATTAATTCCTTATGCTGAACTTTGTTCTTCTTCTTCCCTTTTTTTTTAATTTTGTCGCTTTGAATTTTCTTCTATTTTCCTTGCCATCATATTTTGTACCCCCGTTGAAACTAAGTTTTACACTATTTGTTTTTTATCATAAAAATAAAGTTGTTACTCTAAAATAAAGTTGTTACAATGATTTCTTCAAAAAGTTAGAAAAAAAACATTTCTCGAGGTGAAATTTTACTTTGAAGTCCGGAAAAGTCGATTTTTCGTCGACTTTCGTCGATTCTTGTCGACTTTTGTCGATTTTCGTCGACGCAAAATCGACTTTTGTCGATTTTCGTCGACGCAAAATCGACAAAAATCGACAACGAAAAGTTCGATTTTCATCGACAAATAGCCTTTTCGAATTTTTGAATGTCGACTGTGTCGATTTTCAAAGTCGACAAAAATCATCGATTTTCGAGTCGACTCGGCCCTCTAGTCACAGTGTTAGTTTTTCTACCTTTTCAAACGCGCCTTCATGAGAACGCAGCCAAATTGATGGCTGAGGATCAAACGTTTTGTTTCGTTGTCTGCGTCTCTTCACCGAAGTTTCGTCTCTTCACCGAAATTTTCTGCGTCTCTTCACCGGAACAAGATCTCTCGTTTTAGGGGAGAATTTTTTCCTTTTTGAAAATTTGAAAAAGCTTAGCCCCACCCCTTTATCAATAGAGCGGGTTTGCAAAGGTAAAAAAACAAACCCTGTGCGCTGTTGCAACCCCGTGAGATGAACAATCTCTCTTGTCGGGGTCTATTGTTTTTTAAAGATGAGCAATCTCATAAGAATACGTTGGAATCGGAGTTGGGACTATCAACGATGAAAATTTTTCGGAATTTTCGATAAAAATTAAAAAATCCGGAAAAATCTATTTTTTTTGTTTTCAATTTTTTTTTCTCAAATTCTACGAATTTTCAAATCTTTTTAACTTTTTATGCTGTAAAAATTCCTACTGTAATAAATCTTAACATTAACAACAACTTCATTAAAACAACAATTAACAAAAAATCACAAAATCGTAAAAGTCAATGCTTTGTCGAGCAATGCTTTGAGAATCGGCGGACTGAAATCATCCTTTCCTTCCGCCACCAAACTACGGTACTCCTCCGCATTCTTGATTTCCGATATGGTTTTTTTCTGGAAGAAAAATGAAGTTTAAACCAAGTTATGCTACCGTAACCACGGTTTTAGCATCCCCCAACTTTGATTGAAGTTTTCATTCTGCAATCCTAAACTCCAAATTTCCGAATTGATGAAATTCTGAGATTCCAGAATCTCAAAATTCAATATTCAGGAACTCTTTAAATCAGAAATTGAGAAATTTAAAAGTTGAGAAAAAGCCCATGGTCTTCTATTAGAGGGTGGGCTTCTATTAGAGGGTGGGCTTCTATTAGAGGGTGGGCTTCAAATAGAGGTGGGCTTCTATTAGAGGAAATACGGTATTTATCATAATGTCAGAAATATTTTATCAGTTAACAACTTTTTGGTATTTTTATTGTGATAAACATTTCATTCGTTAATCACATTAGATATCATTCACGGAAACCGAGATAAATGAACTCAAAGTTGGCAGCTGCGTGAGGTAGCCGATCAAGCCGCCAGGGCGCGCGGCAGCTCTGAATGGCTGTCAACTTTGATCCATTATATCTCAATTTTTGTGAGGAATGTCAAAAAGTGGTCAACTAATAAAATGTCGCTGATATCATGATAAACATTTTATTCGTCAATCACTTTTTGATATCTTTTACAGGAATTGAGATAAATGGATTTGAAGTTTAAGGTTTGGAGTGTCATAACTGGCTTCAAAATTTATATTTTTGGATATTTCAACCTGCAAAACTCACCGCCAACCCATCAATCTGATAACGCGATGCCAATTGCAGCTTTTTAGCCGCCGTCATATCTGAACCTTCCATAAAAAATGCAATGCAATTCTCCCTAACAATTTTCGCGTCGTAGATATCATTCAACAAAAGAATTCCTTCGACGGTAGAGTCTGAAAACTTTCAAATCCCACAAATCAGAGAAACAAATAAAAGAAACTCACCATCAAGCGCTGAATATCCGTGAATTAGCTCCAAGAAGATTTGAAAATGCTGAGGATCCACTTCTTTAAGTGTGACTTCTGGTTTCTCGGATTCTTGGAATCCTCCAGTGAAAAGCTTTTCGAAGTAGGAAGAGTGCATTGATAGGAGCTGAAAATATCAGAGTTTAATTTTCCAAAAAATTTGTCAACTACAAAAATGAAGCTCTCTTTTCAGGCAGCGAAAACAAAGTCATATTTGATCAAAATTGTAAAAATAAGCCTCATTTTGGAAAAAAAAATTATCATATCTCCTTGGAACTTGATTTTTCCAAAAAGTTGTCAACTACAAAAATGAAGCTCTAATTTTGTTTAGTATTTTCTGAAATTTTGAGACTGATTAAAAATGTTTGACCTAGTTTCTCAGACAGCCAAAAAATGTCGTCTTTGAACAAAGTTGCAAATTTATCGCTTATTTTTGAAAATGTGCCATATCTCTCTGGGAGTTAATTTCTCAAAAAAGTTGTCAACTACAAAAATGAAACTCTATGTTTGTTCAGTGTACTGTAAAATTTTCAGACAAATCCGTAAAGTTCCATAGAAGATATGCCACGTGGAAGTGAGCACCCTCCAAGGCGCGCCCACCAGAGTTAGTCGCTGGAAGGACCCTTCTACGTGGCATATCTCCCTAGGACTCGATTTTTCAAAAAGTTGTCAACTACAAAAATGAAGCTCTATCCATTTTTAGTATAATCTGAAGTTTTCAAAGCAATTGGAATAATTTGACCTACCTCTTTCAACACATAAAACTTGTGCCCATCAACATTCAGAATGACATTTGAGAACTTCTCATTGCTAACGCCGAATTGATGGAATTTCGATCGAATTGGGCCTTCCATTTTGTTAACCTTCACTCCGATTTCCAGATGGACACCTCCGTCTCTCACATATCGTTGCTCCATATCTTTCCAAGTGAGAAGTCGGTACATTAAAACGCCGCCACTCTTGAAACGATTCTCAACCGTTTTCGAAATCCGATCTCGGTTTTCAACACTTATCGAAATCTCCTGAGACGTTTCAACATAGATTTTCTCCGCGTTTGGCTTCTTTTTCAATGCCAAGTAAGCTAGGAGATAATCCTCGTTGCGTTTGATTCCCAGAAACCTGAAGGTTCGACATTCGTGATGTGCTAGGTTACTGTAAGCACCCAAATAAAATCCTCACATCCCTCCCAAACTGTTACCTTTGAGCCCACATATCTCGGTTGCTGTAAAATATATCAAAAAGTGATCAGCTAACAAAATGTTTATCATGATATCAGCAACATTTTATCAGTTGACTACAATTTGATTTCTCTCACAGGAACCGAAATAAATAGCCTCAAATTTGACAGGCATTTAGAGCAGCCGCGCGCCTTTGAACAACCCTCCGGCCTGGCTACCTGCCTACTTTAAGGTTACTTATTTCATTTCCTATGAGAGATATCAAAAAACTGTTAACTGATAAAATATTTATCATATTATCATCAACATTTTATTAGTTAACCCATTTTTGATATCTTTTACAGGAACCCAGATAAATTGGCTTAAAGCTTAGGGTCAGAGCGCTTACGGCGTATTACCTCCAAAGCTTCAAAATTTATATTTTTGAATTATTTAAACTGTAAAATAAAGGTTCCGAAATGCCCTTCTATTAAAGGGACCTCTAGTAGATAGCTCACCAATTCTGACCAAAATGCTCATGACATTTTCCATCACAGTAGTCCCCTTCTCTCATTGTTAGCACATCCTTAAACGTTTCCTTCAGTACAAATGTCTTTTCCGGACTCTTCTGAAAAGTTTTGAATGGTTGAACTCAATTATCTCGATTCCCATAAGAGATATAAAAAAAGTTATCAAATGATAAAATGTTACTGATACTGTGATAAACATTTTATCAGTTGACCACTTTTTTGTATTTCTAATAGGAGCTGAGATAAATAGGGTCAAAGTTAACAGCTGTCCGCATGGCTAGCGCCAACTTTGAGCTCAAATATCTGGGTTCCTATAAAAGATATCAAGAATCTGCCAACTGATAAATTGTTTGTCATAATATCACCAATATTTTATCAGTTTACAAATTTTTGGTATCTTTCATGGGAGCTGAGATAATTGAGCTCAAAGTGAGCATGGGCTTCTAGAGTACCTTGGAGCTGTTCTGCCGGTCCATTCGACTTTCAATCTTTTCAATTTTCTCCAAAATCGTTTTGGACACATTTCCCACTTGCTTTTCAAGATTGTGAACCGTTGTCTTGATCTCTTGTGTAGCAGTTGAAATCTGAAAATAACGATTTCTTCAGAATTTAAAAATTTTCAAAACACATATTTGTTTCAATAAGTTCTTTGAGATCAGGCTGTTCAGCCGGACCATTTCCACGTCTTCGTTTTGCTGGAGGCATTCTGGAAATCCAAGAAAAATGGAAATTTGAAAAAAAAACACGCACCAGAAATGTAATAGAAGGGGAGGAAAACTCAAAAATTGACTCGAATAGCAGAAAAATCAAAATATTGATATTTATTGATAAAGAAATGTGAGAAAGAGATCACTGAAGACTAAGAGACTTCTTTAGAAGCGCCTGGGCAACATCAAGACTAAAATCATCCACTCCGTCTGCCACGATGCTTTTGTACTCCTTCAAGGTCTTGATTTCAGATATCAGTTTTTCCTGAAAATTGATTTTTGGGGTTAAGAATAGCTTAAATTTTAAAATTTCCCATTTTCAAATAAATTTTTTAACTTGGCTTGCTAAGAGCTTCAAAATGAGCCTAAACACGCCTAGGCTCCACCCACTTTGGTTTTTTTTGCGCGTCGCGGTCGTGCGTCGCGTATCCAAAGTGAAATTTCAAAATGGACAGATCTTAGTCGAGTTGGGGCTCATTTTGAAGCTGAAAACTTCTCGGATTTAATTTTTCCCATTTCAATACTCACCGTCAACTCCTCATTCCTATATTTAGAGACTAATTTCATCTTTTTGACCACGTTGAGCTGCGATTTCTCCATCAAATATTCTTGACATCGTTCTCCAACGGTTCTCACGTCATAGACGTCATTCAGAAGCATTATTCCTTCCAAAGTGAATCTGAAAATATCGATTTTCTTCTTAACATTCAAAAAATCAAGTGAAAGGTACCGTCTATGGCCTTGTACTCCCCGTGGAGGACTTCCAGGAAATTCTGGAAGTCAGTTGGATCCACATTTTTCAGTTCGGTGGCGTCTTCTGTGGGTTCAGTGAAATTTCCAAAGAAGAGAGCTTCAAAGTATGAAGATCGCATAGCGAGAAACTGAAATATGAAATTTGGGTCAAAAACGGTCCAAAAACGGCCCAACCACAGTCCGGGTCAACTTGTCAGTTTCAAAAGCCTACAGTAGTCTGTTTAAGTGTTTTGGATTCGTCTGAACATTTCAGACTACTAAACAAAACTCGAGCTTCATTTTTGTAGTTGACAACTTTTTTGAGAAATCAAGTCCCAGGGAAATATGCCACGTGGAAGTGAGCACATGCGCCCCCCCTTCCGTAGGGGTAGACGCCAGCAGGGCTCTTCTACGTAGCACATCTTCCTAGGACTCGATTTTACAGAAAAGTTGTCAACTACAAAAATGATGATCTATCCTTGTTCAGTATATTCTGAAATTCTCAGAACAATTGGAGTAATGTGACCTACTTTTGTAGCTGACCTCTTTCAACAAAAAATGTTTAGTACTCTTGTCCGAAATCAATGCACGTTGCGGCCGAGAAAACAACGGTGGGCGGAGCTTAGCTCCCACAGAGAGAACCTTACTGTATTTTTCAAATTATTGCACGCGCCTTTAATACAGTACCTCAACATTTATCGAATTTTTGCCTTTTTCTCTCATTTTTTCGCTTGTTTCTGTCTAATTCTTATAAATCTTCAATTTATTTTTCTTATAAAAAGAAAAAAACAGCCAAATAGGACCCAAAATAAAAAACGTCCGAGGTACGGTATTTAAAGGCGCTTGCATCAATTTGTTTTTTTCGCTGTGCGACCGACGATGCGATTTTGAGTAATTTTTCGGCCGCAACGTGCATTGATTTCGGACGAGAGTAATAACTTTCTAAAACTTTTCAAGACCCAAATGTGAGATAACAAAAAGCTATCAACTGATAAATTGTGTATCATAATATTTTCTATATTTTATCAGTTAACTAGTTTTTGATATATCTCCAAAGAACCGAGATAATTGAGTTTTAAGTGCAGACATTGGTTGCCTTACTTTATTCTCCGCGTTGATCTGAGTTTCCAGCTTTTCCATTTTCTTCAGAATATTCTTTTCCTGATTGTTAACCATTGCCTTAATCTCTGTGATCTGAAAAAATGGGAAAAACGTCCAGCATTTTCTTTAAAAGTACTCACATTCATTTCCATTTTCTTGATCTGATCGGTCACCATTGTCTTAATCTTTGTGTAGCGGAAATCTGAAATGATTCAAAAAAGTTTCCATAACTAGGAAAAAAAATCTCACATTCTTTTCTATGAGTTCTCTAAGCTCAGGTTGTTCATCGGGATCATTTTCCCGTCTTCTTTTTACCGGTACGCCTTCTTGGGACATTCTGAAAAGCGGGAAATTTGAAATGTAGAGATAGTTAGAAAAAGAGAATTAGAAAGCGCAAGAAAGAAAAAAAAAAGAAGAAGAATGTTTAATGTTTTTTTCCTTTTTTTTTCCACGATTCTTGCAATCGTAAATAAATAAATAAATAAATAAATAAAGAAGAGGAAAATCAATTTGGCAGCAGCAGGAGAAGGCTGCGAGGAGGGTTGCCAACAGATCAGGTGAGAGACAAGAGAACTAGAAGAGACGCAGACACGACGAGCAGCAGAAGAAGTATTTTCTCTCTCACATGCAGCCTTGAATATATGGTGTTTTTTTAAAGATGAGCAATCTTCAAAATAGACTTAGGAATCGAAAATTTCAAACCTATTCTAGGCATTTTGAATTCAATGAAAAAAAAAGACCAGAAATAGAAGGGAGAGGAAAACTCAAAAATTGACTCGAATAGCAGAAAAATCAAAATATTGATATTTATTGATAAAGAAATGTGAGAAAGAGATCACTGAAGACTAAGAGACTTCTTTAGAAGCGCCTGGGCAACATCAAGACTAAAATCATCCACTCCGTCTGCCACGATGCTTTTGTACTTCTCCAAGGTCTTGATTTCAGATAGCAGTTTTTCCTGGAAAACCCTTTTTAAAATTCAAAATTTCCCAATTTCAACAGTATTTTTGAACTCAGCTTACAGGGAGCTTTAAAATGAGCCCAAGCACGACTAGGCTCTTTGATTTTTAGCGCGCTTCGTGTCGCGGTCGTGCGTCGCGTGTCTAAGGGAAATTCCTATATGGGCGGCGCCTAGTCGTATTGGGGCTTGTTTTGAAGCTGATAAAAAGCTGAAAACGATGGAAACTATCAATAATCAAAATTCGGGCAAATTTTAAAAGTTAGGGCCTATGGAAATTTTGAAAATTTCAATGTTTTAAAAGTAGGTCATGTTTAGGCTCATTTTGAAGCTAAAAGCCTCCTAAATTCAATGTTACTCACCTTTAGCTCATCGTTTTTATATTTAGAGACTAATTTCAGCTTTTTAACCAGACTAAGCTGCGATTTCTCCATCAAAAATTCTTGGCATCTCTCTGCAACGGTTTTCGCATCATAGACATCATTCAAGAGCATGATACCCTCCAAAGTGTAGTCTGAAAATATCGATTTTTCAACATCAAGCTCTTTTTTTTACAGTAATGGGTACCATCAATTGCCTTGTACTCTCCGTGAAGGACTTCTAGGAAGTTCTGGAAGTCATTTGGATCCACATTTTTTAGTTCGGTGGCGTCTTTTGTGGATTCAGTGAAATTTCCGTAGAAGAGAGCTTCAAAGTATGGAGATCGCATGGCGAGTAGCTGAAATATGAAATTTATGTCAAAAACTGTCCAAAAACGGCCCAACCACCGTCTGGGCCAACTTGCCAGTTTCAAAAGCCTACAGTAGTCCGTTAAACTTTCAAGTATTGTCTGAAAAGTTCAGACTATACTAAACAAAACTCGAACTTCATTTTTGTAATTGACAACTTTCACAAAAAATCAAGTCCCAAGGAGATATGCCACGTGAAAGTGAGCACCCGCCTCGCCTACTTTTTTCTCCAAGACTCAAAACTTTCATAAATTTGTCAGAATTTTTTGTGTTTCCCACTGTTATGAGATTATTGCCAGCTTTAAAATGAGCCCCAACACGACTAGGATCCTTCCATTTTAATTTTTCACTCGGACACGCAACGCACAACCGCGACGCGCATGAAAAATCGAAGTCTGCGGATCCTAGTCGTGTTTAGGCTCATTCTGAAGCTGGTAATGAGCTCAAAAAGATGGAAAACATAAAAAATCAAAACTCTAACAAATAATTGGAGTAATGTGTCTTACTTGCTTCAATACATGGAACTTCTGCCCTCCAACTTCCAATATATAATCTGAGAATTTGGCACTGGCGTCGAAATCGATAAGTTTCGGCTTGACAGACCCAGCCAACTTTCTAATGTGAACTTCAGCCTTCACAGTTAGTTTTCCATCTACCAACCAGCGGTTCTGCATTTCTTGCCAAGTGCAAAACTTGAGTGCTCCATACATATTGTAACCATCAAAGTTGCCTTCTTGCCTTATGGTGTCTCTGCACACACGCCCCACACTCAATTCCAATGAGTGAAAAGTCTCCGCAGACCATTTCTCGGTGTTTCCTAGCTTATTAATTCCCATGTAGACACCCAGATAATTGTCCTGTCGTTTCACAACGATCCTCCTAAAGTTTTTCGTTCAATGAGAGTGTTCATGGTATTTATACTGATTCGCACAGTAGAAATCTTACCAAGTCTGACCAAAATGCTCATAGCATTTTCCATAACGGTAGTCTCCGTCTTTCATTGTGAGCATGTCGCAGAAAATTTCATTCAACACAAACTTTTTGTCCAAGCTTTTCTGAAAATTGAACTTTGAGCCGGTTCATCTCGATTCCAGTGAAAGATGATAAAAAGTTGCCCACAAAAAAATTGTTTATCATAAGATTTTCAATATTTCATCAGTTGACAGATTTTTGTTATCTCTAATTGGAACCGAGATAAGTGAGCTTAAAATTAATAGCCTCGCCGCTGCCGGCACAATTACGCGGTCGCGGCGCTCAATTTTGAGCTCAATTATGTTGATTCCTATGAAAGATATCAAAAATTTATCAACTGATAAAATGTTATTGATATTATGGTAAACATTTTGTCAGTTGACAAAATTTTGATATAGTTTATAGGAGCTAAGATAAATAGGACCAAAGTTAATAGCCACGCCGCTACCAGCACAGCTAGCTGCGCGGTGCTTAACTTTGAGCTCAAATATCTCGGTTTTTGTGTGAGATAACAAAAAGCTATCAACTGATAAATTGTGTATCATAATATTTTCTATATTTTATCAGTTAACTAGTTTTTGATATTTCTCCAAAGAACCGAGATAATTGAGTTTTAAGTGCAGACATTGGTTGACTCACTTTAACGAATTGGTAGATATTGAACAAGGGAACCGCAACACCTCGGCACCTCAAATTTTGATCAAACTTTCAGGATATAAGAAAGGGCTAATTTCAAAATTTTTTATTTTGTTTTGTTAATTCCAAAAACAATGAAAAAAACAACGTTAGAAAAGCACAGAAAAATTCATAGTGCTTCGTTGTTGCGTATTAATTCTGTTGGGGTCTCAAAAAAATTACAGTTTATAGTCGGAATAAAAAAAGTGAGACTCGGTGTTTGCGTACTTTGATTCCCGCCTCCCCCAACGACGCTCCGCCCATCGCTTTGCAAGTGCGGCGTGGTGTTTTAGC